TATATGTACATGCATATATATATATATATATATATACATGCATATTTGTAATCATTTGAACTGCGCGTCGAATTGGTTTTTCGGACTTATTAACCGCAATTAAACTACTGTAGTAATATCACGAATTAAATTGACAAGCAATTTTAATAATTTGATGCTCAATCAGGCATTCTATTAGAAAAATGTTAATATGCTGAAAAACTATAAATAAATTTACTGTAAAAAAAATTAAATAAATAAGCAATTTAATAATATTAATGAAGCATCAAGATCCGCTTTGAACAAATAGGGCTTTACTTTTTCGTTTATTTGTATTATTCACGTATTGATTGATTTTCCACTTATTACTGTTTAAGAAAATTAAGTAAAATAATTTTACATAAAACATGTTTTATGAAATCTTATGTGTTTAAAATTTCCGGATTGTTTCAAACATTGTTTAAAACATGAATAGAAATTTATCTACGCGTGACAGTACACTGATCCATTATACGTTAATCTCTCGTTTAACAATATTACTAAAAGTCTATCCTCTACGTGTTTTTAATTTATTTAGGCTCAATAAGTGTCATTACAATGAAATCCAATTTAAATTTGCAGTCTCCTGCATCGCGGAGATAGAAAGTTTGCTTCCGCAAAATCGAGTGTCACCGACAGCAGCAGCAGAAACTTCCAATATCTCACTAAAAAATCGAGGCAGCAAAATTACTTGGCTATCCTTACGCGCAAGGAGCTTTTCCTTCGACCGTAGTAAATAATCAAACAAAAACTGTGACAGCTTATTCTCGAAATTAAATTTATTTCATGAAAATAATCTAGGAAAGATTTTTATTGTTTCTATTTGCTTTACTTACATAATAATTTATACGGAGGATTATGTAATAAAATGTAACTTACAGTTAGACATTTAAAATTGAGGATAAGATTTTTATTTTAATATCATTTCATTTAAATTTTTTAAAAACTATACATTTTTATATTCATAATTCAAATATTTATATAATTTCAAGAATAATATTATACGTATATTTGATCGTATATTACTTTTTTATTATTATCATTATTGCTTCTAATTATACTGTCATTAACATCAGTATATCAAACTCACTTTGAGTCATTAAGGGTATATAGACAATTTGATATTATTTTTATTATATAATATTTCTACGGTTTAACAATATTTTAAAAATAAATGCTTATACACATTTATATATAAAATGTATATATGTATGTACAATATATATAT